CAGAAAGTGGGTGAAAAAAACGTTGGCTAATGAGAAAAAACCGGTATACAAATACATCCCAGACTATTTATAGGCTTGGTATAACATAGAGAAAGGAAACAATCACCGAAAAAAAAGGGAAAAAAAACTCTAAAATGAAATTAAAAAAATTAAAAAAAAAAAAACCAGCAAGTTCTCCAGGACAGGATCTGCGCCCTATCTGGTACCGCGGTTTCGCGGTCCAATGCTCAACCCACAGAGCTGTGGGGAACTTGCCATGAAACAGAGAGCAAATTTAAGTCAAAATGTAACGAGTCGACAACGTAATGCTAGGATCAAGTGCGCAAACATTCTGAGGGAAGAAGTGTTTTGACTCTAAGATGACATCAGAACTAAAACTCTGCTATTTGCCAGTTATATAATGTTCAAATTTAGGGGCGCTCTCATTCTAAATTTAAAGGTGTGGAAAAAGGGTAAAATTGATACTAAGTGGATAAAAAAAGCGTCGGCTAATATAATGTACCAAAATGAAAATAGCAGTTTAAAGACACGTCCCAGACTACATATAAGCTTGGTATAAAAATCGAGAACGAAATAGTGAAATTAACATTGACAAGGCCTAGACCAGAGGCACACGTTAACTCTTTCACTTCCAAGATCTCATAAGTTATTCTCCTTACAGTATGCCATACAGTTCTTATGATGTTAGTATGGAGAATTTAGCATGGGGTCAACAAATAACCCCATTAATGATTTTTTTCTTGATTTTCATCACATGTGCTTAATGTTGTATTGCTATTGTAAGGAGAAGTCCTGTCTCGGTCACTCGTGAGAGTTTAAGATTCGTCATAAAATCGTCTTACAATTCCGTGAGCTTTATTTTATTCAGTGTTTTGTAACAATCTTAACAAAGATGATCAACTTGAGTGGTTTAATAAGCGTGACTGTGCATTAACCTGTTTTCCCGGTCTCGAATATCATTAAACCCCATTGTTTCAAGAAGCACCGGTCGTTGTGATCAGGACTTGTCGCGTGCTCGAATCAGTGCTGCACATCAAGAAGCAAAGGAACCGCTCGGAAAGAATTTTGCAAAAAACGCGCAATATGTTTGACAAAGTGGTAAGTGATTATCCAAAACTAAAATGATCTTAATCATTGACTCGATCGTGAACAAAGCAGGACAGAACCGAAGTGCCCATATTTGAAATAGAAACAAGAAGAAAAGAAACGACATAAAAGTAATTGTAATAACACGGATGATCTAAGGAGTCAAACGCAGGTTACAGTTTTCCCTGAGTTTGGTAGGGGAACCACGACACTTATATTAAGGCTCATAAGCCTGTGAGACCATCATCCGTTGTTATTCACAAGGGGGAGTTCACTGACGCGTAAACTTCAGAACAACAGATATATGAAAATTTTTTTGCATCGTAGTTGAAACATTTACGTGATTTCTAGACTCACAAACATTATTATAGTAGAGTTAGCTATTTGGTTCGTGAGGGAACCACTATCTTGCTATCTTGAACAGCACTGTGACCGTAAGTGCTCTGTGTGCAATCATGCTTAAGATTCTTTCATGACTTTGCAAAACTCAAAACCTAACGAAGGGCTAACGCTCGAAACGCTAGCTTTAAAACTCTTTACAGCGGCCAAGTCACGTTATCAACTCAGTTGATAACACTTCATTACCCTGTTATACTCTCCCACCAACCCAGCATCACAGTTTATTTAGAAACCTACCCCTTCGTTAAAAAATAATGCTAGTTTGCTTCGCACTATGCATGTCCTACTAATGATGGATTGTTAGGATAGGCAAATTCCCCGTAAAATACTCGCTGATTTTCTCGTTTGGCTCAATTTGGAATAAGCGTTGTACTTAAATTACCAGAATAAACCTACGTAAGCTGACTCTGAACACGCCTCTATCGGAAAATAGAGAGGATTGAAGGGCTCTTTCAAATTTCCTTTTTGTTTTGTCATAGAATGTTGCAACTTCTCTGCTGTTTGAAAATTTTTTTAGGTGAAAACGGTCGTTTTTCGCACCTTCGATTGTAATGACAGTGCAAAAGTTTGCTGTGCATGAAAAGTCAGTGCAATGTCGAGACTTACTTTTTCATTTTACGTAATAACAATTGACCTGCTTACTCATGTGTATCTGTCGTTTGAAGTTGTTTTCCAGACTCCTAGCAGTGTTCACGTCTCAACTGATGACTTGCATTGGGTACCCAACACATGTGCCAATCACAGTTTGCGAAAGCCTTTTTGCGTATCATTTTACTTAGCCACCCCCGGCCTTACCCACTCCCCCTCAACCGCCCAACACAAATCCATACAGAATCCACGTGAGTAATGAGAGCTATACACGAGATGGTCAGCTGACTGTAACGGTAAATGGTACCAAGGGTTTTAAGGTGAGCCTAGGGTTTTTATTGAGGTCATCATGGTGAAAAATAGTTTCAATTTCTCTGAGTTTTTTCTTACTGACCCATATCATTCTCCCTTTTGTTAGCAACATTAAGTCATCTGTGTCATAAAGTCTTGTCATAACGTCTCTTTTTCTCTAGGGGGGTTCATACTTCAGGCGCGTGCTGCAGGGGATTCAAGACCTGTTGGTACCTTTCAGGGGAACCTGTCTCCGAACCAAACCTATATGTGGTGTTCCGGTGGAGAGCCACAGGTAACCAGCTTTTGATTTCATTTTTGCTCCCCTTCTCAGTGACCGTTATCTTGGACTCTTCTGTTCGCTCTCTCTTTACTTTCTGTATCCATAATCACAATGATGAGCAATTCGATTATCCTGAATATCCCTCACTTTTCATTTATTTCTCTTTTGTTAGCAGAACACAGTGACACACCAACGTTCCAGACCACCACAGATTACCGCCTTTTATACGCTTGAATTTACCTGGAAAGCACCAGCAGAGAGCGTTGGAAATATCACATTTTGGTTAGCAACAATTTATATTTATACTGGCGTAGGCTAGAAGACGGATCCAAGTCATTTTACTACTGTCGATGAACACCGTTTTGTTTACAAAAAGGGGGACATCATCTCTGATTACATACATTCAATTTTTCAATCTTAAGCGAGAGAAACTCCTTTAAACCTTATTTTCTTCGATTCAGGGGCACCTTCGTCGAAAATTACACCAGTTTTTGGGTCGGTGTTCAGTCTGTGACTGTCAGTGGCCCTGCATTGGACCCACAACAGCCACCAGTGATACAGCCTGGCTTTGAGGTAACACTGAGTGTTGGTTGTATCTGACTCTTCTCCAAAATAAGTCGCATGAGAAATCTGTACCAGACAATAATTCCGTATTTTGACATTTCACAAGCGAGAAAGACAGAAAAATGTGACTTAGAACCGCAATAACTAGCTTGTATAACTGGCGGCTCTGTCAGGGTGCACTTGACGATGGCTCGCGAAGTCGCCCCAAGCCTTCCGCGGCTTAATCGCCCTTTCCCTTTGCGTAAATAAAACGGCCTGTTATTTGTTTTTATTGAAGGATATGGATTATATAACAACGAATAACGCTGACTTGAAATTTACTTTATATGTTATTCGTGCCATGTTATCTATTTATTAGGGGAATAATTTTCGTCATGATAAATTCTCACTTTCGGTTCCCATGTTGGAGTGGTATACTTGTTGCGTTTTCTATCCTGTTGAAGATCATTCGACAATCATTTGTTTGTGTTCTTTAGATAACGAAATATGGTTGCGGCAGCCAAAAAGGTTGTTATTCTGAGCCCACAGACTGCACAGATAGTTCAAACTGCGAATTCTTGGTCACCTATGAAACAAAAGGAGAAAATGTTACATTTGAGATGAGTGGAAAACATGGCTACGTTTCTATCGGATTCAATTCCAAGCAGAAAATGGTACGGTGAAATTATAGTATACAGTTAACAGTAGTTTGCATGTCAGGTGAAGCTTGAGCATTTTCAAGTTTTCTAACAGTTCTCTGATACACAACATAAACGAAAGTTTTCGAGTATGTTGAATGCACACCATTAGTATAATTTTCATGTTAGTGTGAGATAACAGACATAAATGTTTTTAACAACTTGGCAGTTTCCATATTGACCTTTAACCTATTGCGTCTCATGCTTATGCTTCATGCTAGCCAAACTGAAGTTTCCTTATGGTCATTTTCGTTTCAGGACCAAACGGACTCCATTACTTGTTCAACTTCATCCAATAACGCTGTAGAAATTAGACACTATCACTTAGATTACAATCAGCCAATCAGGACTGACTTGGTAAGGATCGACATATGTATTTTCATACTGACATCGCTTGTTAAATACTTCGGTTCCATTCAGAACTGATTATCATTATTGTTATCGTTAGGAAAACTCTACGGACATAATTCGCGATATAGGAGCGTATGAGAATGGAACAGTTACTTGCAAGTAGGTAATTACGGTCTCAGGAATCGCTGGATATGTCATGCTTGTACATCAAAATGCATTCCTAATGAGGAGTAGTAAAACCAAAACCAAAGTAATCACAACGGCCAGTTAGTACAAAATAATTTCTTCAAAGAAACAATTGACGGGCGCACTACTTCGAGTTATTTGTAACAAAGTAACAATGTACTTACATATCTATTGGTAGGTTTGTTCGCAAAATTTCACCCACTGATCCGAGGATGAAAAATTTAACCAAGAGCTGGTTTTTTGTATTTGCTTGGGGTAAAGTCAGTAAGTATCCTTAATCACATTTTCTTTTATCATCTAAACGAAGATTATGTTCGTTTACGTTCTGCTGAAAAAGTTGCTTTCTCTAGTAGGTAATGATCCTGGCCAACCGAGGGCAATTTTGCACAAACCTAAAGAAAGAACACATTTTATTTTTGCTTAATTTTTGTGAATTTTGCGTTTTTTTTCTTTAAACTCATACCCGTTTTTTTGTTTGTTTGTTTTTTAGGTAACACAGGAGCTCTTTCTTATCATAGAGAAAATGCGACATTTTCCTTAGAACTGGTGAATGTTACCCAACCTGCCGTGCTGAAAAACGGGCGTAAAACAGCACCAGCACCCACCCCCGAAGGTGAACTTGAGGTAAGTAAGAAACAGAAGGCAAATTTGTAGACTGACATAATTCTTCGCTTTTTCCTCGCTGACCAGTTTTTTAAAGAGTCAAGAAATGGTGTCAAATCGCTATTAGCCCCAGATTTCACGAACTATCAGCTGTTTCGGCCAAATTGTCTGCCCACGCTGACGGTATTCCTACGTTTTACTTTCTCTTTCAGTTTTTAACTTCTCAATGTGGCCAAACAAAGAGTTGTTACTCGGAGCCCACAGACTGTACATCTAGCAGCACCTGTGACTATCTTGTCACATTCGAACCTTGCGAAGACAAGAATGACGTCAAATTTGAGTTGAGTGCGAAGGCTGGTTGGGTCGCCATCGGATTCAACAAAGAGAGCAAAATGGTAAATTAGAACGCCTTTGCGTAGATGAAAGCTTCATCGACAGTGGCAATTGCCTTTGTGAAATCATTACCCATTCCTTTACATTTACTTCAGGACGGTACAGATACTATTATCTGCTCTCGCTTAAATGATGACACTGTAGCCACGGAGCACTATAGCCTGACTGGCCATGACAACCCAGTTCAAACCAAACCGGTGAGAAAGATTTGTGCGTTTAGACCAGGGTTTAAAATATATATGTATGGTCAGGTTTCGAATGAGACTGAACGTGGCCATATGTGTGTGCATGTGTTTTTGTTTTTGTTTTTTTTTTTTCGAATCCTTTACCCTTTACTTAAAATGGAAAGAGAGAAGGAAAGCCCATCTTGCGAGTTCAATTCCAACTTTGTTTTATGTTAAGTCTGTTTTTCGTCCATCTCTAGTCTTAAAACCTTTTTACTTATTACATTTTGTGCGCAAGCTGTGTAACTAAACCTTTTGGTTTAAACCAGACTCCTGCAGGCCTTATGGTGATCTCTGGTGCGTATCAAGACGGAGTCATTAAGTGTAGGTGGGTACTGTCATTGGTTAGTTGTGAAAATGTAATCGAAAAAAACTTAAAACGTATGATCCTTTGATATTCTTTTCAGAAAGTTATGAAAATGTCTGAATCTTTGGTAGCATTTAAGTTGAATACTTATTTTAAAACACTTTCTTTTTAATGTTTTCTCAGATTTTCTCGAAATAAAACAGCAAATGGCATGTTAGGATTGGACCAAGAAGTGTTCTTAATTTACGCTCGTGGTGATGTGAATGGTACGTTGGGAAATATTTCTCATCGGCGATTCAATCAGCGTAAGACCTACCTGGTGTATTCTCACTGCCGTTTATCATAACTGTATTTTCTTATTTATTATCTTCAGGTGGTATACTTATCCGGCACACTCACAGGTCACCCAGCACAAGTAAAGTCGACGTTTGTAAACTGAACACCGCGCTCGAGAGTAAGACTACGGACAACAAGCTACTGAAAGCTCACGGTAACTAGAGTTTGATATTTAGCTGTAAAAGGTTATACAAAAATAGGATGATTCCTTTTTGTCTCTTCTTACTTCTTATCGTTCGTCAGGTGTTTCATGGGACTCAGAAATTTTATATCCCAACAAGTAGAGGCAAGGGGGGGGGGATTTCTCTCATCTCAAATGACAGTTATTAACTTCCCAATGTAGGCTCAATGAGTACTTTTAATACTTTAGGGGAGTCTGCGTACTAAGCTCTTACTAATGTTTTACTCTTTATTGACATTTAGGCTCGCTAATGGTGGTGGCCTGAGTTGGGTTTGCAACCCTGGCTATGTTTGCCGCGCGTTATATGAAGGACGTCTGGGGAAAACTATTTGGACTTAAGAAGTGGTTCCAGGTAATCTTGCCAACTTTTCATCGAGGCAACAGTAAGGAAATATACACTGAAATGACCACCATCCCACTTTGCTGAGTTTGTCAGAAATTTTGCGTACGGTGATAGTTTTGTGAAGGGCCGCATAATGGGGATGGTTTAGTTGCATATATAGTAGAATGATGTAGTTCAAAAGTTAAATTTTTCGTTCCCTCTTGACTGAGCAAACCCCCCAAGCGGAATGCTAACACATAAATAACTAGCGATCATTTAGTGGACAGTCTCTTAGACAGCTTGATTTTATTTCTGTCTTTGGGTAATTCACCTGTTTCTTTTAGGTTCACAGGGCACTGACTGTAAGCTGTTTGATTTTCACTCTAGTCGGTTTTGTGCTGGTTTTTGCTCACGTCGAAGGCTGGTCTGAAGTAAGGAAAAAACTGTCACCGTTGGTTTAACGTAGTGCTTTAATCTGTATGTGACATCTTTAGGTTCATTTACTCATGCTAAGTAGGCATCAAAGTTCTATACTCTAATTAAGTTTCTGAACCTATGCCTGAAGTAGTTAGCAGGCAATAACCTTTTTGTTAAAAGTCAGTTCTCTTTCATTTTCGTACGCCTTCCAGTTGGGAGAAACAAAAGACTGAGATATTTCTTTTGTACTTTAGGGCTCGGTAATATCTCTGTCAACCCTTAACTGATTTTATCGTATATTAATCATTAGGCAGATGTGGCACACTCTGTACTAGGGGTTATTATCACTCTTCTTGTCTGTGCACAGCCCATTATGGCGCTCATGAGGCCTAAACCAGCAGCCGAGAAGTAAGGAAATATATCGTGCTGTAAACTCAATTTAGTTTAAGGAAAATTTCGAAAACATTGGTCGCCAAAGTGTGACGGTGGACTTATTACATTTTTCTGTTCTTGCGCATAGTCGATGGATTTTCAACTGGTGCCATCGTTGCGTTGGCATCTCTGCATTTATTCTTGCGGGTGAGTTTTGATAGAAAATAAGTCATTTTCTTAACCTTTGTTATCAGTAGGCACTAATAATTATACTGACATTCTTATTTATGTCGGTTTTTAGTGGCCAACATATTCCTTGGCCTTCGCCTGCCTCATTTAAATGCTGAAGTCGGAGTTTATCTCATGACCTTTTTCTGCGTCGGCCTGGTAGCAGTTGTTGCACTTGAGATCTACATTAGGTGCCAAAAGAGTAAGAAAGGTAAGATCCTACAGCGCGTACGATGGGTCGTCCTTGTCACTTACCAATGATTTGTATACAATTGCGCAAGACGAACGTCGAAAGCTATGATAGGTCTCGATTCCTGCGTTGGTACCGCTTCTCTCGTCATAACCTTTTTTTTTCACTTTTGCAGGACTACTTTACATGACCTTTGGATTCCTCGTTGTCCTAACCAGTACTGTTTGTTTTGCCCTGCTTCTTTTCATTACCATGGCAACTTGAAACCCAAAACCTCAGGACTTCTGTTGACCCTTTTGTTCGACTCGGAAATGCTTCTGTCATTCATACCTATTACCAAAGCAACTTTAAGAATTAACAAGTGAATCCCACGACACGACTTTATCCAGCGTGTGTTACTTAGTAGAGATTCTCGTTTTAAACTCGTCTTCTTTTCTGATATTTTATACGCAAAATCTTCAATCAATGCATCGCAACATAATGGAACTGTACGTTACTTAACCTCGAAGGTTTCATTCATGTATGTTGTAGCCTATTCTTGGCGCTCAACTGGTAAACAAGGCAGTTATAATTTCTGCGGGGCAAACTGTAAGAGACTGCTTCCAACGATTATCCTGATCACGATCTGTTCCAGACCTCCCTCGTTTATTCGCTCTTCGCTTTTTATCACGCCCCTTTACCAACTAATTGCCAGGAACAGGTTAACCGCTAGTTTATAGATGGAGGAATCTTAAAGATAATTTTATATTCTCGAGATATATTATTCTTCAACCAACAACAACCTGTCGTAATAGAGGTTTTGGCTCTTCAGCGCAGTCAAGTACATATACAATGAATGAAATATTTCATCGTTGATCTCACGATGTTGTTGCTTCGGATTTGTGCCTTTCATTGGTCAGTTATGGGGAAAAAAGAAATTAAAAGGTTCTATCTCGTCAACACTGACAAAGCGTGTCATGATTTTGGTGGAATCAAGCGAAAACAGGTATTGTTTCTACTTTTAGACGGTACATCGGTTCATCGCTGTTACTGATCCCCCCCCCCCCTCCTCCGACTAAATCGATGTTAACGAAGCATTTCAAGAGAACAGAGGCGAATTCAACTACTTTTAGGTGCGTTCTCTGAGATCACCATTTCAAAAATCTTACGGGTTTCTTTCAGGTCTTTTCTGAAATCCCTCGTCTGATTTACATCTTGGAAGGGTCGCGTACCGTATATTTTTCTAAACCTACCTCGCCTTTCTGAAATATTATTGATCTCTTGCGTAAGTCCGATGTAAATTGCTTTTATTTTGTGTATCTTATCGGGATTTTCACTGATAGATTTTTTTCCCGCCAAAAGTCCGTCTGCTGCTCCCTTAAACGCGGATCGCCACTGCCGTATTTGGGAATAATGAAATCTGACCAAGGTACTTATTGTGATTTCAATATCTAGGCGTAGAAGGTGAAAATTTCGCTGCGACAAACAACAGAAAATAGCGAGAATCTTAGTTAGATTTTTGATCGCAAGCAGATGAACATCGACAAGAGAGAAAATTGCCTACAGGAGAAACTGTTCGTGTTCTTATATGAAGTGTTTGGTGAACACATCAGTACACGTTTTCGCAAATGGGAAGGTAAACAGATTTTTTTTTAATAATTCAACTGCAGCAAAAATTTCGCTAAAATTACAGATTGGATGGTTGGTCCCTTCTCCATGTTCCGATTTATACCCCTCTAGGCAGAATTCGCTGAATTGTACATATTCGCTCTGAGAAACGGAAAACGTTCGCGAGTTTTTCGCGTATCGCTCTGTGCGCAAATAACAAACAATTGCTAAAAAAAATCTCATATTTTACTTCGATTATGTCGCATATTTTTAACGTTGTCCAAATGAAATTATCTAAACACTGAGCAAATACATAAGATAAAAGTTTTTGACACGGTCTAAACAAATAATTTTGTCTACATTTCCTCCATCATTCGACCAGAGAACTGTAAACACTACTTGTTATGAAGTGTTTTCTTTCAGCTTTGATCAGCTTTTGAGTTAGGATCATACTGTTCTAAGTCAAACGGTTAAAAGACAATGACACAATTCAAAGCCAAATGCTGAACTTTTTTGCCGAGAGCTCAGTGATTTACAGAGAAACTGAACAAATTACACCTGTCTATTCTTATTTCGGCATTCGTGCTGAACACCTTCACGTCATAGTAAGCAAATGAGCGTTTCTTTCAACAGAACTAAACTAAGAACGAAAGAAATCTAAATTATTTGTGAGAAAGGGTATTTTTCACGATGCTCTTACAGAAAATCTGCAAAAAGCGATGTACAGATAAATTTGAACCACTGACTAAAATGAAGGAACCCATTTTAAAGGCAAAGGAATCCATCACATTTTTTCACACTGTAGCTGCAAAAAAAATTGATTAGAGAGCAAGAGAATATCAACTAGTTGGTTTTTTTTGTTAGAAAGTGAGTGCTGATATTTACCGGGTACTTACACTGCCTTTTAAATTAAAGTTTTACACGAATTTTTATTTTTGTGCGCCGTCAGTTTCGAGCGTTTCCAACAGCCAGAACTTGATCACAAATGCATTAAAGATGTTGATATTTTACAAAGAGGAAATAGTATCACATGTATCAAAATCGACACAGTGAATAGTCTCCTTCGCAGCAGTTGTTTGTTCATCACGTAACGCGCTGCGAAGAATACTACGGAAAATATTGTTCTCTGCGATTTTATTAATTACCTTTTTTGCCGCACCCTCTGCTAAATACTGTGGGCGCTCTCCCGGCTATTTAATTGGTGCATTCTCAGTTACATTTGTACATTGTACGGACATCTTCTCTCTTGTTTTCAAATTCTTTCCACCAACCTTAATTCCTTTCCGCGTAATTTTTCTTTGGGTAGGAACATTTGTGTAGGTTTCTTCGTTGATATTTAATTCTCAGTTTCAGTTTTGCAAGTACAACGTCTCATAAGTTTCAATTATAGCCGTTGTGCCCAGGTACCTTCTCACTCCCTCCAGCTTCTGTTTGAAAATATTTTTGTTTTTGTGACAGGTTTTTACAACCTTTTGTTGTTAACTGCTAAGAGAGAGAGGTCGGGATGTTTCTCAGTTGACACGGACGAACTGGGAAACACTAAAACAGAGCACAGTGGTACTATACTAACAGGTATCGCCTGTAACATTTACTGCTGTTACAACTCTATTGCATGCGCGTTGAGTAATTAGGTTCCTGTGGCTGGAAACAAACGAAAACGAAAAAAGTGGAAACAACTTTTTACCTACAATTTCTTAGGACCGTTTTGATCCAATTTTATTAATCCATATATTTTGATTTTAAAGAGAATATCTGATTTTAAGAGGAACTTCCAAAATTGTACATTATATACATGGGCAGTGAAAACCCACTTACAAGAAGTTTGGCGGGACCTGGAAATATTTTCTCTTTTACTCTTAATTCATGCATGGTTTTCTACTAAAGGCTGTGCACTTCATTATCCTAGCTAAACCAACTACATTCTTTTCCAGTGAAGCCAGGACCACTATGCTTCAAATGCTTATTCGTGAAAATGGCGCACTTCGTTCTTTTCGGTTACCACTTGGTCAGCCGCGCATATCATGATTCTTCGGCATTTAAACTGTTTTGTTCACATTGTGTATTTCATTTAGTTTAAAACTGACTGTTTGTTGACTGTGTTCTCATCCGCTTTATTATACTGGCTTTGAATGAAGACCCTCGGCGGTCACGCCCAGCTGCTGTCTTCCTTCTCCATATTACCACCATTGTCACGCAAATCGCCACAACAATGACTGGAACCACTATCCACGGAACGATCGATGCCGCGTCTACTTCTGCAGAGGTAAGAAAACAGGTGAATCACCTTACAGTGTAGCTGTAAGTTAAAAGTTACTCTTCTACAGTTGATTCCGATTATGGCAAAAATTAGTTTAACTTTTTGCCGAGTTTTTCTTCAATTTCCGCCTCTAAGTACAGTTTGTTCCTTTACAAAATATGATTTTTGTCTATAACTGAGAGTATTTCAGCAAAGTTTATAAGACAGGATATAAATTTCTGAAAGAAAAATCGTACGAAAGATTACTGGTAATTACCTTTTATTTTTGTTACAAACTCCGCACGAAAGCCAAAATCATACGAAATATCACTAGTAATTACCTTTCTCTTTTGTTACAAACTCCGCACGAAAGCCGCGGTTATTTTGCGACTCTGTTACAATCATCCTCACGGTTAAGTCGGAATCAGATGTCAAAAGGCCTTGAGGTTTTTTGGAACCACAGAAGACCTCCTGACCGACTTTTAGTTTGCTCTTTCCATCGCAAGACATTTCAAAATCTTGTACGTCCATTTCTAGAATATGACCATCCGGAACGACAAGACGCCAGGTACAAGTAATTATGGGATAGGAATTTGGATACCCTGGGCTTACCAGAGAACCTCTGCTACCTTTCAATGTAATGAAATTTTCTTTGTTTGAATCAGTTCGACAACGGCTTGTATGACCTGACAAAAATTAGGAAAAAACCTCAGTAAGTCATATATTCCCTGTACGTTTCAATTCAGGTTGGATATAGATTACGAGCAGTCCCTCCTTTACGGCGAAGTCCGGCGCGCGAGTCGAAAAAAATCATTGGAAAAACCGTAGGGAGCTCTTGTAGTGACTCCATGCATGAGTGAGGCGCTCGAAAAGTAGGGACTACGCACTAGGCCCAAGAGTTTGAATTCTGCATCGCGCTCACAACGCAAAAAGATGATTGGCTATCAGCCGGAAATCTGTCAACAAGCTTTTCGAGCGCCTCACTCATGCAACTCTCGCGGCCCATCGACATTACTCAAGAGCTCTCCGAGCTAGCTTCAATTTTTTTTTACTGATTTTTTTTGGACTCGCGCGACGGACTTCGCCGAATTGGAAGGACTGCTTGTAGTCTAGGTTGGAAATGGAACTAATTTCATGTTAACAAGGTCCGAATATTCTTTATGTAAATGTTTTGTGAAGCTCTTTGTTGTCCGATATCTAAGACATATATATTTTCTTTGTTGGCAAAGTTTTCAATATGGAGACGTCTTGTTTCAATTTTGTTGATTTTAGCCGTGATAACAGAAAACCTCCTTGTGATGACCGCTCTTTTTGCTACATACTATAAAAAACATATCTGGTCATATACTCTTATGTATATCGTTCACAAACACAATTTGATATGGTCGTAATTATGATAATAATGATGATGATGAAAAGTAACACTAACAGGGAAGTGAGGTTAAATTTCAAAAGTAAAATTCTGCACTTCAAGAACGAATCCACAAATGCATGCACCAAGGCATACTTGCGATATGTGCGCTCACCGCACTTCATGCCTGAACTAATTGTTGACCAATTGAAAAACCACCAAGAAGTAACAGCCACAAGAGGTATCAGCAGCTAACCATCTATGTGAATCACTATGATACACAAAGGCAAATCTCTCTGTTTCTTAAGTATTTGGAAAGGCTAAAATTTTATTTACCTTGCGGAGTAACTTGGTAAGTTCCATAAAAGCCGGTGGCCGAGTTGGGATCCACTGGCTTATCACTACTGTAATCCTTTCCATTTGAATAGTTAGAAGTGAAAAAAATTTGGAGTTCATTTCGTGTTGAGTATATCACTTGCGGTTGGACATCTTTGCAAAAGTGACCCCAAAAAGAAGTAACACTGCCAAAGTCGGTGGTGAAGTAATCATCGACTCGCATTAGCTCTTCTCGATGACCCTCTTCTTCACATTCTCCTTTAATATTCAGCGAGGTGAAAGAAAGCTTAACACAGTAGCCATCGGGTGCCTTCAGTCGCCAAAAACACGAGCTGACAGAAGGTAATTGGAGAGGGTAATCTGGTGACGATAAACGCCCCACTGAATTTTGGGTCAGATTAAGTTGAATGATTCTGTTGTTGGGGGTACATACACCTAAAACAAAAAGAGTTTCATTTGA